TTTCTTATTATGGCAAATGACAAGAATATCTAGACACTTATACCAAACAGAAATATGTTAGGTAGTCTCAGGCTGTTGTTTCTCTCATCTCCTCCTGTGATCAATCGCTTGACCCATTATATCCTATTTACTTTATATGTCGTGATCTTGTTCATTAAATTCATTAATTTTGTGAGTTAATTCCCAGTTAATGCTCCTGTCATTCTCAAAATCTATCACACTGCAACTGCATATATCTTTCCATATAAATATTTTACAAAATTCTCATGCTTGAACATGGTAAAAGGTTTCCTTTTATATAAAGTAAAAAAAAAATAGCCTACTTTAATACAGCATACAACAATTTAATGACCAGAATGCTCTTTTATTTGTTTCACTTCATTGTTCATAGTTGCATTAATCAGGGTTCTTCAGAAATATAAAAACAAACAAGATGGCTGTGTAGAAAGAAATCACCTAATAAGGTGATTTATTAGGTGAATTGGCTCATATAATTATGAAGGCTATGAAGTCCCACATTAGGCAGTCTGCAAGCTGAAAACCCTGGATACTGGTGCATATTTCAGTTCCATTTCCTGAAAACAAGGAAAGGTAATTGTGTAATTCTCAATCCAAGGCCAGAAGCCTTATAACCTGGAATGGGTGGAGGGTAATGGTATAAATTCTGGAGTACCAAAGGCTGAGAGTCTGGACTTATGATGTCTAAAGACAAGGGAAGCAGAGTTTTCTAGATCCTGGAGTGAGAAAAAAAAAGTCACCTTTTCTCTAATTCCTTTGTTCTGTCTGGGCACCCCCATCACCCACCAGTTGGATCTTACCTAGGTACGCTCAGTCTACTGACTTGAACTGACTGCTTCTGAAACACCCTCATAAACATGTTGAGTGGTAAGACTATCAATTCAGCCAAATTCAAATGGCTATATTCATCTGCAAGGTTTTTCTTTACTTGGCATCCTTTCCAACAATTGTTTGTTAGTTAGTTTGTTTGTTTGTTTGTTTAAACTAAAGCTATTCTAATAGGTGAGTTGTGATATCTCCCAGTTTTAGTTTGCATTTTCCTAATGATTAGTAGAATGAGAAATTTTTATTGAATACCTATTCGTCATTTCTTTTCATTTTTTGAAAAAAAAAATTGTTTGTTCAAGTCCTTTTCCCTTTTTTTAATGTAGGTTGTTTTCTTGCTATTGAGTTAAATTTCTTATATGTTTTAGATATTAATCCCATATCATTTACATAGTTCCAAATATTTTCTCCCATTCTCTGGAGTTTTTGTCACTTGGTTGATTATTTCTTTGGCTGTGCAGAAGATGTTTAGTCTAATGCAATACCATTTGTCTATTTTTGTTTCTATTGACTATCCTTAGGGATACTTTTATTGACACATAATAATTATAATATTTATGAAGTATAATGAATGAACTGATTCATGTTGACTTTGGATGTTACTGAAACAAAAATAATTAACATGAACTTAAACTTACATCATTTCTTTATAATCAAGATTGAAATAGACATGTATTTTCCCACATTGACTGCAGCACTATTAAGGGAAAATGGGTAAAGAAAAAGTGGTACATGTACAACATGTAATATCACCCAGCCATGAAAAAAAAAAAAGTCCAGTTATTTGCTGCCATGAATATAGAGGACATTACTTAAGAGAAATAAACCAACCACAGAAAGGTAAACCTGGCATGATTTGAATTATATGTGGAATTTCAAAAAGTGAATCTTGTAGAGGTTGAATGTAGAGTAGTAGTCACTAGAGGTTTGGAAGCAAAGGGGCAGGGATTATTTTGATCATTAAAGTTTCAGAAGTTTTGTTAATTTATTAATGTGTGAACTCTACTACCATAATACCTGATGGAGTATTGTTAAAATTCCTTTGAATCTATAAATCAGAAAGTTAACAATTTATTATCCAAACTTGTATAGATTATGAACACAATACTTTTTAACATTTTCTATTATTATATCTATTAATTTCACTTGGGGATATATTGTGATTTTCTGTGTTAAGTACTTATATTTGCTTTTATTGGTTATTTGAAGGTATTTGTGATTTTCTGATAATATTACAAATAGCCATTTTTAAATATTTAATTTTCTGGTGGATGATATATAAAATATAATTGAAAATCACCTATGTAAATTGTTTACAGCAAATTTACAAATTTTAGATGTTAGTTATAATGTTTTCTTTTGATTATTAATCATAAGTAAATATTGGTAGAATTTCTTCTTTATTAATACATTTTTTCATTCTTGGCCTTAGATAGAATTCTGGTATGATTCTGAACAAGAATTGATAGTAGAAATTTTCCCTCAGTCCAGAGGAATAGCATCATATTTTAGCATTATGTATTATACTAAGTATTTTTCCCTGAAGATAGGATAAAGAAGTTGTTTTATTTTATAATTTACAAAGATTTTCATAGTGAATTTTATGCAATTATATTCTACATTTACTAAGATGATCATATGACTTCATTTTTTTAAGATTTGGTGAATTACACTGAATTTTAAATGATAACCACATCATTTTCATTTTTAGTTGTGCTACAATTTCCTTGTGCTTTACTTTTAAATTTGCTTTTCCTGCTTTTTAAAGGAACTTTGCATTGAGCTTATGAATGAGATTAAGTGGAAGCTTTCTTTCGCAGAATATCTGTGCCAAGTATATGATTATGTTAGACTTCATGAAACAGGTGGGACATTTTTACTTTATTCTACAATCTAGAATGATTTGTGTAAAAACTGATTATTTTTAAAGTTTGGAAGAATTCACCAGTGTAGCCATCTGGCCTGAGTTGATTGTTTTGTTGTCTATCCTGGTACTCTCCTTGTTCTGTGGGAATGGCTCTAATTATACTTTTCAATACCCCAGTAGTTGGAAGATTCTCTATTATTATGTGTCATAATTCGGAAGTTTTGTTTTAAAAGAGATGTATCAACATTTTTAAAATTTTTTGTTAGGTCAGTCTAAGGTATTCCTAAGGTTCTCTAATTTATTTCATATCTGTCTCATTCATAGAGATAATGTATTTTTTATTTTTCTGATAGTGATCACTTCAGGTCTTCTGTGGTGACCTTTAAAACTGATACTTTTTCAATTTCATACATTATTTTCTAATTCTCATTTTTTCTTAATCAGTGTCTGAGTACATTTCTTGTTGATGTGTGATTCTTATTGGCCTAAAATTCAATGAGTCATTTTCTAATCCCATTTCTATTTATTATAAGCTGGTTATACAATTGTTTATAATGTGAGTAATGAACATAAAAATAGTTTGAGTGCTTATGCCAATTAATCTGATCAATTAGAACTCCAGTAAATCCCTCAATAGAGCAGTAACAGAATGAGAAGGCAGTTAATGCAAGATGTTACAGGACATCCAGAAGTGTGAATTCTAGTACTGACTGACGGGAAATTAACTCTGGCAGATACATTGTAAAGAACAATAAGGAATTCCCAAGTATCCAATTTTCTTCTTTTATGCCCTAATAGATTTTAATAAATTTCACTAAAAGCATCAAACAGCTTTTCATATAGTTAATATTTTCCTGAGATAATATGCAGCTTTAGATAAGTAAATCATATTTCTTTTGCATTTTCCTTTTATTTACTTAGTGAGTCCATTATGATTTACCTCTACAGAGTTCACTCTTATTAGATATCATTTCTTATGCTCAAAATATACTAGTTTTATTTTTAGTCCTGTAAAGGTCGGGCGAGCGTCAGAGGAAGAGACCACCAAGAGACTGTCTCATGCAACAGCAAAGGGTTTATTGGGGGTCCAGCATGCTGGGGCTCAGAGCTCACTTGAATAGAGCAGAGAGAGCCCCAGGAACAGCTTAAGCAGAGCTTATATACTTTCCTTAGAGAGGGCAGGGACTTCACATACAGCATAGCCAGTCATTGCATGGTTTCTGGGAGGGGTTGTTTTCGTAGAGCAACCAGATGATCAGGGGAGATTTCAACACACATTTAGTGGGCATTTCCGGGAGTTGTTTTCAACTTCTACATGAGTTTCAGGTTCCAGGAAAACAGAACTTAATTCTTACATTCTTAACCTTTTCATTTCCCACTTCTTTTTCTGACTACTTTTAATCAGAAATCATAATTATTGAGGGGTATCACACTCTATTTCTGCCAGTGAGGCATATTGTTGTCTCATTACCATAAGTTTAACTTGTCCAATTTGAGCTTGGAGAAAGGAAACTATAAGGTTGAGCAAACAGGGTCCTACAGTTAGCAATAATATGAGGATTATTAATGGACCAGCCAGAGCTGATAAAAGCGTAGTTAACCAGGGGGACTGTGTGAACCAAGACTCAAACCACCCTTTTTGGGCCTCTCTCTCTCGCTGACGCTCTTTAAGGCGTCTTTTTAATTTACTCATAGATTCTTTTACAACTCCAGTATGGTCGGCATAAAAACAACATTCTTCTCTTAATGCAGCACAAAGGCCCCCTTCTCTCATGAAGAGGAGGTCCAACACTTGCCTGTTCTGTAAAACAACTTCAGAGAGAGAGGTTAAAGATTCCTGTAAAGCTGTGATGGAGGTTTCTAATATCTTTAAGTTTTGGTCTATTGCTGCTTCTAATTTGGTCATTTGTTGTGTCCCACGGACCAGGGCAGTGGTTCCTGTGCCCACACTTGCAGCAATTCCTATTCCTAATAGGATGGCTAAAGTGAGGGATACAGGTTCCCGGCGGAACCGGGTTGTATGCCCCCCTATTTGATCTTTAAACGAACCTGCCTCATGATAGAGCACTCTGGGAAACATCTGCACCATTACACAATAATTTACAGAGCTGTTAAATACCTGGGCTGAAATGCAAGGAGTTAACCCTGAGTCACATGCCCACCAGGTTCCGTTTTCAGGGGTAAGGAAACCCTGTGTGGTGCTAATTTTTTTTTATCTGGGTACATAAGTGTTGTTTACTTTTAGGTGGGGACCCTATACATAAGCCTGCCCCGGTTACTTCTGGAAGGGTTACGTAGACGAAGTCTCCCACTTGATATCGGTGTGGAGTCCCTTCGTCCCCAGGTTGGTAGGCAGTGGCCAGCTGTTTCCACAGGTATCGCTGGGTTCTTTCAAGAGCTTTAAGTCTGTCAAGCAAGGGGGTGTGAAAGGAATCTTAGGTCTTAGAGTTGGGGTTAGGTCCCTTACTGGAGGAGGGGCACCATAGAGAATTTCATAGGGGGTGAGGTTACACAAAGAAACAGAGGGAGTATTTCTTGCACGAAACAATGCATAAGGCAGGAGCATAGTCCAATCTTTTATGCCAGTCTCTAAGCTTAATTTCGTTAAGGTCTCTTTAATGGTTCTATTTATTTTTTCTACTTGTCCTGAGCTCTGGGGTCTATAAGCACAATGTAACTTCCAATTAATCCCCAGGGTCCTGGCTAACCCCTGACTTACCTGGGCCATGAACGCCGGTCCATTATCAGACCCTATTACCTTAGGCAGGCCGTATCTTGGAAAAATATCTTCCAGGATCTTCTTGACCACCATTTGCAGCGTTTCTTTTTTTGTGGGGAAGGCTTCAATCCATCCTGAAAATGTATCTACAAAGACTAGGAGATATTTAAGTCCATAACTTGCTGGCTTAATTTCAGTAAAGTCTACTTCCCAGAATTGTCCTGGTCTGGTTCCTCGTAGGCGCTTTCCTGCAGGAAGCTTGGAAGGGTAAGCATTAACCAATTGACAGACCCGACAGGCTTTCGTTACCCGTTCAGCTATTTCCTTTCGCTGTGAGTTGGTTAGTGGAAAACTCTGTTCTTGATCCTTCAGGAATGCCTGCAGTTTCTTTGAACCAAGGTGAGTGAGTTGATGCACATTTTTAACGTAGTGTAGGGCTTTCTGAAATTGCAGGCTGGGCTCAGTGAAGTCGAGGAGTTCAGTGTCAGTGTCCTTAGATGTTAAGTTGTCGGGGTGCTCCGACGTAGTTAAATCTCCTGACTTATGTTCCCCCGATGTGGAAAGTGTTAACATGGTTACTCCTTTTAGGGCTGCCAAATTAGCCTCTTCATCCGCCCTCCTGTTCCCGACCACTAGGGGATCGTTTCCTTTCTGGTGTCCTGGACAGTGCACTATAGTTAGTTCCCTAGGGCTTTGCACTGCTGAGAGGAGGCGGAGGATCTCATCTCTGTTTTTTATTTCTTTTCCCTCGGAGGTTAATAGTCCCCTTTGCTGGTAGATAGCCCTGTGTATATGAGCGGTAGCGAAGGCACAGCGGCTATCTGTGTATATGGTGGCTTTTTTGCCTGCCGCTAGCTCCAATGCCTTCGTGAGGGCGATCAGCTCTGCCTTTTGAGCCGATGTTCCCTCCGGGAGGCTAGAGGAGCAGATGACTTTAGTTCCGCTAACTATTGCTGCCCCAGCCCGCTGCTTACCATCCTGGAGGAAGCTGCTGCCATCAGTGAACCATATGACCTCAGGGTGGGGCAGTGGCTGATCCTTTAAATCCCGTCGTATACTGGTTTCTTCTGCCAGTATATGTTGACAGTCATGAGTTACGGGTCCTGATGATTATTCAGGTAGTAGTGTAGCCCGGTTAAGCGGGGCGGGGGGTCCCAGCGTTATTCTGTCTTTGTTGAGCAACAGGCTCTGATAGTGTGTTATTCTAGAGTTTGATAGCCATCTGTCTGGTGGCTGGTGGATGATGCTCTCTAGGGCATGGGGGGCTATAATGGTTAGCTTTTGCCCCAGCGTTAACTTATCAGCATCCTTGATTAGAAGGGTCGCCAGTGCTATAGCTTTTAGGCAATGGGGTCATCCACTAGCCACTGGGTCCAGCTTTTTAGACAAGTAGGCTACAGGCCTTTTCCAGGGCCCTAGAGTCTGAGTGAGCACTCCTCGTGCTATTTCTTTCTTTTCCTCAATGTAGAGAGTAAAGGGTTTTTCTACATCAGGGAGTGCTAAGGCCGGAGCAGATAGCAGTGCCCTTTTGATGTTATCAAAAGCTTGCTGGTGCTCAGGGGTCCATTGGAATTGGGTATCTCCCTTTAACAGTGGATATAAAGGAGCAGCTAAGGACGCAAACCCAGGTATCCATAACCTGCAAAAGCCAGCATGCCCAAGAAACTCTTTGAGTTGCCTCCTGTTAGATGGGGGTGGTATCTGCACAACCGTTTGTTTTCTGGGCTCAGTGAGCCATCATTTACAGCCCCTAAGGGAATAGCCCAGGAAGATTACTTCTTGCTTGCAAATTTGGGCCTTTTTGGCAGAAACTCTATACCCAAGTTGAGCAAGCTTGGATAATAGTGCTTGGGTCCCAGACTCACAGTTTTCCTTGGTGTTGGCTGCCAGTAGCAGGTCATCCACCTATTGAAGCAAGGTGACTTCGGGGTGCGTAGTTCTGAAGTTGTTGAGATCTCTGTGGAGGGCTTCATCAAAGAGATTGGGGGAGTTTTTGAACCCCTGTGGGAGTCTAGTCCAAGTTAGTTGACCAGACATTCCGGTTTCTGGGTCTACCCACTCGAAAGAAAACAGCAACTATTTTTATGCAGAGGCAAGCAAAAGAAAGCATCTTTTAAGTCCAGAACAGTATACCATTTCCGCTCAGGGTTCAGAGTGCTAAGCAGATTGTACGGATTAGATACCATGGGGTGAATGTCCTGCACTCTGTTGTTGATCTCTCTTAGGTCTTGAACGGGGCGATAGTCCCCGGTTCCTGGCTTTTTTACTGGTAGCAGGGGAGTGTTCCAGGCCGATTGACAGGGCCTTAGGACCCCTAAGGCCAGATATTTCTGAATATGGGGCCTTATCCCATCTTTAGATTCTTTGCTCAGAGGATATTGTTTGACATTGATTGGGGAGGCTGAGGTTTTGAACTCCACTGTTATTGGAGGTTGTTTCACGGCTAGGCCTAACCCAGCAGTTTCTGCCCAGGCATCTGGGTAATCTGTTATCCATTTCTGGGGTAGCTTGCCTGTTTGTTCAGTCTTGGGGGGTGTGAAGAGTTGATGTTCATCTTCTACTGACATAGTTAAAGCCGTGACTATAGGAGTTTTTACTGAAGGATTTAGAAATTCCACTTGGGGGCCTTCAGGGTTAAAAGTTATTCTGGCCCAGAGCTTGGTGAGCAGATCTCTGCCCATCAATGGAGCCGGGAATTCTGGGATTACTAGGAAGGAGTGATGGACTTTTTCTTTCCCCAGGTCCATGGTCCTCTTAGTTGTCCAAGCCCGATATTTACTGCTGTTAGCCCCTTGAACTAGAGACCTTTTATTTGATAGGGGGCCCAGTGGGGTCTTAAGGGCTGAGTATACTGCCCCTGTATCCACTTCAAAGTTTATTGGGGTCCCCTCCACTTCAAAAGTTACCCTGAGCTTGGGGAGGGGATCCGAGCCGCGACTTTCCTAGTCATCCTCCAGAGTCAGAATGGCTGGCTGGCATGGCTGTCTCTTTCTAGGGCACTCTTTGGCCCAGTGTCCTTTTTCTTTACAGTAGGCACATTGATCTGAGGCCAGGGGTGGCCTTTGGCGTGGGCCCAGGTATCCTTCCTGTCTCCCTGTTTCTTAATTTCTGACCTATTTGTTTTTGTGACCAGGACCTTAGTCAATGCCTTAGTCTGTCTTTTGCTTCTTTCATCCTCCCTTTGCTCCCTTTCTTTCTCCCTCCTTTGTTCCTTCTCTTCCTCAGTTTCTCTCTTATAGTATACTTTCTTGGCTTCTCTGACTAAATCTCTCAAAGTCATATCTTATAATCCATCTAAGCGTTGTAACTTTCTTTTAATATCTAGGGCAGCTTGCCCAATAAAGGCCATTGTGACAGATGCCTTTTGAACCTCTGCCTGAGGATCGAAAGGAGTATATCTCCTATATGCCTCCATAATTCTCTCTAGAAACATAGAGGGAGATTCATCAGGCCCTTGAATAATCTCTCTTACCTTGGCCAAATTAGTTGGTCGCCTAGCGGCCGCTCGGAAACCCACTATTAGAGCCCAGCGATAAGTGCACAGATGCTCCCTACCTTCAAAGGTGTTGGGGTCCCAGTTGGGTCGGTTCAAGGGGAAGCCGGCTTCAATTATGTTGGGAAGTCGTGTCGGTCGCACATCTGGTCCGAGGATATTTTTTTCTAGCTTCCAGGAGGATTCTCTCTCGTTCCTCTGTCATGAAGAGAGTGCCTAGGAGTTGTTGGCAGTCATCCCAAGTAGGCTGGTGTGAAAACATCAATGACTCAACCAGACCTGTGAGCCGGGTGGGGTTCTCAGAAAAAGGGGGATTGTTATTTTTCCAGTTATAGAGGTCTGAAGAGGAGAAAGGCCAATACTGGTAGGCTTGCATTTCTCCCCCATGGCTGTCGTCAATCATTGGCCCATAGGGACGAAGGGGGAGCATCACGGAAGCTCCAGGGTTTTCAATCATTCGCTGCCGTCGAGTTCCTTTAGCAGGGTCAGCTTCCTCCAGGGGAGGAGGGGCTGTGTGTGCCGCAGGGGAGTCATCTGGAGGGCGCTGGGCCAGCTTAGCTTCCTCCAATGGTGGAGAGGCTGAGTCAGCAGCAGGGGAATCACTTAGAGGGCGTTGGGGGTTGGGGGACGAGGGCAGGGGATAAGTAGGGGGAGGAGAGTCCAGTAGAGTCAAATCTTGAGACTCAGGGAGAACAGAGGGTGGAGAAGGAGGAGGAGCAGAGGGTTTGAGAGATAGAATCATGGGGGAAGGAGTAGGAGTGGGGGCAGGGACAAGGAAAGGCTTCACCCATGGAGGAGGAGATTCGCAGAGGTCCTGCCAAGTTAAGATATACGGCTGTTGATCTGGATGGCTATGTGGCCCCGGCTGAAAGACAATATCTCTGACTTTTTGAATTAGTGGGAAGTAGAAAGATCCTTCTGGGGGCCATCCGACTCCAAAGGTGGGCCATTCTGAGGCACAGAGAGTCTGCCAGGTCCGGCGTTTTACTGAAAAAGAAAGATTCTGAGCCCTTAAGCTGACTTTGGTCCAGTGATCAAGGGTCAGGGACAGAGGCGTTGAAGTGCTCTGTCCCATAATGAAAGATACACAAACAGTGAAAGCAACGACACACGACACAGACAAGACAAGACAATAAAGACAGACAATGAATGTCCAACACTGAGACCAGGACTGAGTACCCGGCAAAACCCGATGGGCTGGCAATACCGAATCAGAAACAAAATATCACTGAGTCAAGGAGACTATTGTTCCTCGATTTCCCAAGTCCTCTGGGGCATCCCCCAGGGATGTGGCCTGTGGCTCTGTGACATGTCTGTCAGCCACCATCAGAGAGAGCTCACACTCTTCACCGACAGTCACTTTGCCAAGCCCTAACCTGAAACCTGAAACCGGAAAGAGGTGCCTTACTTACCCCGAGAGGAGCCCGTTGGGGTCTTTCGTCCGCCGCTGCCGGATCTCGGTGGAACCTCCAGATGTAAAGGTCGGAGGAAGAGACCACCAAGAGACTGTCTCATGCAACAGCAAAGGGTTTATTGGGGGTCCAGCATGCTGGGGCTCAGAGCTCACTTGAATAGAGCAGAAAGAGCCCCGGGAACAGCTTAAGCAGGGCTTATATACTTTCCTTAGAGAGGGCAGGGACTTCACATACAGCATAGCCAATCATTGCATGGTTTCTGGGAGGGGTTTTCGTAGAGCAACCAGATGATCAGGGGAGATTTCAACACACATTTAGTGGGCATTTCCAGGAGTTGTTTTCAACTTCTACATGAGTTTCAAGTTCCAGGAAAACAGAACTTAATTCTTACATTCTTAACCTTTTCAGTCCTATCAATGTTTCCTATCAGATTACTAAAGTAGTAGAAACAAAAAAAATTCTTAACTTTTATAGCTATTTTAACAAATCTTTTTATGTGTTAGGCAAGTTTTTGCAAGAAAAACAATCTGCTATGCTTGCAGAAGCAGCTCAAAAAGATGCAATAAAATTTCTGCATGGTTTAACATCTAATAGAAAGGAAAAAAGAAATGACATTTTTTTTAGATATCATATGAGAATCACCACATTGAAACTTGAAGGCAAATATTTGCTGAGAACACTCAGCTCAATAATTTCCTTCAATTCACTGGTTTAAGTTGAATTTTCTCTCTTGGGTGAACAGAAACTTCTCAAACCAAGCATTTATATTTAGCTTTGTGTGAAAATTGCATATGTAATTAACTTAAATTTTATTTTTATTTTCTTCTTTTTGTTACCATGTTCAATAAACATTAATTTTATATCTGCCATAAGTATTTTAATAATATGCACTTCATAGATAAACTGGGTAAATTAGAATGATTAATGGTTACATTTCTTTATTCAGTTTTTGATAATATAATGAAGTTATATTATTTTTTTAACAGTCACATCTGATCTCAATTTTAGGAGATTGAAATTTCCTAAAATAACTTTCAAATTATTTCTGTCTTAATGTAATTGCTCCTGTAAATGTAATGCCTGGCTAGTTTATTGATCACAATTACAGTGTGCTTTTTATACTCCTGCACTGTTGACTACCCTTCACTGGTACATTAACTCAAACCATTTAAAACTCATTTTCTTTTCCCTTAACTCTATCCTAATAAAATCTAACAAAGTTATGAGTTCTTCTTTAATATCCTTCCCTACCAAACATGATTACTGATATTGCATAGTAGTTAAGTATATGGGCTTTGGGATCTGACAAATCTAGATTTTCACTTAAATGCCACCATTTTTAAATTTGGGAAGTTTAGTAATCTAAATTTAGTTAAATTTAGCATCAGACCACCTTATTTCTAACATGGTAATTAGAGTATATCATTCTCCATTTTAAGTATTATATGTACAACATGTGAAAGTTATTAAGTAGATTTCTAAATGTAGTGAGTCTAATTGCCTTCTAGTTGATGTGAAAAGCCATTAGTATTTATGCATCTGGACCTCTGAGTAAAAGTATAGTACTTGAAAATTTTTAATGCATAGAATACCAAAACAATTCATGTATATCAGCTCTTGTTATTATGATCCCTTTCTTTTTCTATCATTCTAATTTGTCTCATAATTATAAATAAAGCTGTCTGTTAACGAAGGTAGACAAGATAAAGTTTATCAAGTGATTACTAAATGGAAAATGCAGTGAAAACCTAAACAATTTAACTCCACTTCTAAATGATCATTTTGTAAGGTATATGCAAAAGAGCCATTAGGCAATAACTATTCCCGTGAATCTCAAAAAGTTGATTTGGGTGATTCTAAGTTTCCTCATGATAGCAGATAATTAGAAATCATTAATAAAATATTTGCCTTAAGAATGAACAATATAATTCATAGTGATAATGACATTACAAACTGAACAAATCTGAAAACAAAATTTGTTTTCAATAACAGGTAACATCAACATCAATTTTTAATATAGTAATGATAAATATTAGTCAATTATTAAAAATTAATTTGTACAAAACTCTAAACCCACTATCATTGTTTGTTATGGGCTTCAATAACAAAGTTCATCAGATTATATAAATTTATAAAGAATAGAAATTTGCTTGGTTCATGGTTGTAGGAACTGGGACTTCCAAAATTGAGGGGCCACAACTGATAAGTATCTTATTGCTTCATCATCCCATGGTAGAAAGTAGAAAGGCAAGAGAGTGGGAGAGAAAGAGACAGAAAAAGAAATAGAAAGAGAACAATAAACTCATCACTTCCTCAGTAATTCACTAACAGGATAATTAACCCAACCCTGTGATCCATGCCTGAGTCTATTCATGAATGTGTAATTCACATGACCTAACCTTTTAGGGATCCCACCTTTTGACATTGTGGCATTAAGGATTAAGTTTCTAACACAATAAATTTGGAGAGGAACATTCAAACCACAGCACTCACTTATTTTTAGGCTTTCAAAATTAGAGCATGTGCCAAGGTTCAAAATACCCTCTGTCTTATTCTCTCTGAAAGGAGCTATCATCAATAATCTAAACATAAAATTTCAATCAAAACATTATTTAAATTAGAAATGGAAATTATCATTTCCATCATTTTTAGATTGTCCCATTTTCATTTTTCCAAAATTATATCCTGTCTTTTGTTTCATCCTTTGGAAGAAAAATTTACCATGACACTTCTGAAATTATTGGAGGCAACTAGATGGGTGGAGACAAGGGAATCAGCACAGGAATAACTTGCTTTGATTTAATTTTGGTAGGTTTAACAGATCTGGATATCATAGAATATCTTCTAGCTATATATTTCCTTTTAGTCAGTTATATTGATGAGTATTGTTAGTTTCTTTTTGTTCATTTTAGCTTTTGAATAATCACAGGTTACTATTGGGCACTTTGCACATGATGACACAGAAGACAAACTCAGTAGTGGAGGCAGCAGGCAACAGTGAGAGGCTGTTCCACACAGAGGGGATTGTATTTGATCTTTGTTTTAAAGTATTTTGATTATAATGAAATCAAGATTATTGGTTAGAGGAAGAAATCACAGGCATATATTTATATGGAAGAAGCTACGTTGGTTTTTGTTGTTGTTGTTGTTGTTGTTGTTGTTGTTTTTGGTTCTGGGGTTCGAATCCAAGGCCTTGTGTCATACTAGGACAGCACTCTACTGAGCTACATCCACAGCCAAGAGGCAACATTTTAAATAGTTACCAACTACATAAGCTTACAGATGGTCATTAAGGAAAGGGCAAATAGTGAGCACAGAGTTGTTAGTGAAAATTTTCAGCTGTCAAAACATCACTGCCAAAAGCACTGTTTTACATGTTTACTCCATTCATTTCTTTCTTGTAGATTATGTGTTCATATGTGCCCACTGCAATGCACACCAGCAGCTTTTAAATTTATCTTTGTAATCACTTTCATGCACTATGGTGAAAGATATGCTTATGACTTTTCACTTTAATACTAATGTCATAAAAACATTCGGGGTTAATTTTTTTTTGGGGGGGGAGTTGACTCTGTAGCAGCATGACTAATATTAAGAAAGCTACTTTCTTTAATTAACTTTATAATGGCAATTAGGTTAACTTTGGCTGCGTACAAACAATAACTTTTCAGTGACAAAAACAGTGATACTTATTTCTTATTTAGGTTTCTGTGTTGGCTGGTGTTTAGCTCCAGGCTGGACTCAGACTTGTCTCCAGGAAAAGGAATGGATGAAAATCTACTCCAGAGGTCTATTATTCTTCTTCATGTGACACTAAGTATATTTCCTCATAGCAATGTCAGAAGAAGACAAGAAAAAGTCCAACAACACAAGTGCATTTCAAGTGCCTAGTACATAAACCTATAACATTCCTTAAATCAAACAAGTTACATGCCTGAATCCAGAATCAGTGAAGTACAGGAATTACTTTCCTCCCACATAAATGAGGATGATGAAATTTAAGTATTCCTTGATGGAAAAATAGGCAAGTCTACCAGGATTTTTTAAAAAGACTAATAATAACTTCATATTGTCACTTGGAGAACAAGAGTTGCAAAACCTCCATGAAAATGAAAAAAAAGGAAAATGTATGAAGATAAATTTCTTAATACTTGGCTACTACTAGAATACTAAATACAAGTCACAATGACAATTGCTGGATTCAGAGCAAAAGAGAAATTGTTTAGTCATTTCCTTAAATATGTTGGTTTAAACTAAACAACTGGGATCTGGAGATGTATAAAAACATAGTGCATGATTATTTTCTTAATGAGAATAACACACCAATTTATTGTAGTTGTTTACATTTTCAATGACTTTATTAACATTAGCCAACAACAATGTTGACTGCCAAATAGAATAAAATCCTGATAAAATAAAGAATTTATATAGAGATTATTGCAATCAGTAAACATACTCTAAAATCAGACTCAAGTGCACACTTGAGAATGTGTGATGTTGTTTACTTACATTATATTAATGTTAATAATAAATTGAACAAAAATATAGTATAGTGACTATTGGATTTTGAATATTAAGAAACAGAAAACTTTTTACTTCTGTTGAATCTAAAAATGCTACTTGTTGATACTGTTCTCCATGGCTCCTCCAATCCAGATAT